CCCTGCCCCATACTCCTAGAGAACTCCGCCTTCTATCCCTTACCCTCCACCCTCCCCTCCACTCCCTTTGTACTACTAACAAAGACATACGAATGAGCATCATTAAGAGTATAGACGATATGAAGATCAGAAATGAAATGAACGGAAGTATGAAGATGAAGGATGGACACAAAGGCTGTATAAGCTGAAGATCTGAAATGAAATGGACAGGAGTATGAAGCTCTGAAGAGATGCACAGGAGCATACCTTCCCTTTTACTCTGCCTCCTGAAATAACGTGCAAGTGGGCCGTGGAGGCACACGGGGATGTGGGCAGCTGCCGCTCAACCACAATCAACGTGGGCAGCCTTGCGCGTAAGAGGCACAGTAAAAGGGGAGCTGCAAGAACAATGAAAGGGGTACCCCAAGAACAACCAAAAAACTGTCTAATTATACAACTGCTTTAATATGTTGGACATCTCAAATGCTCTCGTTGTCTGCAATAGGATAAAGACTGCTTTGATTCTGAATCTATTCACCTGGGTGGAATTGGGGCTGTTGTGGGGAAAATCTAAAACACACACGTGCGTGTGGGTGCCTGTGTCCATGTTGCATTTGTGTGTGTGTGGGGTTTGGCATTCACAGCGGAACTAATGGTTGCTTTTATATATATGTGGTCTATTGAGGCAGAACATAAGGGCGTATGGGACATCCCCCCCCCCACCCCTCCCCCCTTTTGTTTTCTGAGTGAACACTACGAAGAATGGATTTCATGCCACATTTGGTATGACATCAGGGTAATGGTTCTAATTTCTCCCCTCCAAGCAGAAGCGTATTCTCCGGCTGCTCTCCTTATCTAGCAAGCAAGGTACCTTGTCATGTTTGCTGGAAGTGCAGCATCGATGAAGCATTTGTGTGTTTGCTGGAAAAGACTATACGTACGTAGTTCGTACACATTGATCAAAGTTGGGCACACCTGACCAATGGGCTACGCGTGCTTGTGGTCTTCTTACCTGCTTTGCAGCATGTGCCTTCTCCCCCCCCCCCATTGTTCCGTCTCCCTTTCCCTTTCCCCCTCCCTTTCCCTTTCCCCCTCCCCTTTGCTTTTCTCCCTCCCCCTTCCCATTCGCCCTCGTGTTGCCTTTTCACCCTCGTCCCCACCCCCCCTTTTTCCGCAATTTCTTCTTTCCTCCTGTCCTTCTCGCCTCCTCTCCTTCCCAACTTCCCCCTCTCTCCTTTCCTCCTTCCACCTCCCGGCTCTTTTCCCCTCTCCCCATTGTCTGCTTTCCTCTCCTGCCCCTTCCCTCCTCCCCTCCTCCCTCCCCCCTCCCCCTCCCCCCTTCCCCCTCCCCCCTCCCCCATCCTCTCTTTTTTTGTTGGTTCTTCGATAGGTTAAAGGAGTGGTCTTTCGGACGGATCATACAGGTGCGTTGATCGACATTGGTGCAAAGGCAACTGCCTTCATGCCGCTGCAAGAGGCAAGCATTGAGAAAGTGAGGAGCGTTGAGGAGTTGGGGCTAACTCCAGGAACTGAGGGAGAGTTCATGATAATCAGAGATGATGATCCTGATGGTGTCCTGATACTTAGTCTCAGGGCCATTCAGTATAATGCTGCTTGGGAGAAGTGCAAGCAATGTTTGGAAGACGATACCACTGTCATGGGCAAGGTCATTGCTGTCAACCGCGGAGGAATCCTGGTCTCGATCGATGGGTTGCGAGGGTTTGTACCCTCGTCCCATTGTGCAATGAGGACCCAGAGAGAGGATCTGGTAGACCAGGAGATTCCGTTGAAGTTTTTGGAGGTGGATGAGGAGAGGACCCGGCTTGTCCTGAGCAACAGGAGGGCCATGGCAGAGAACCAGTTAGACTCCTTCAAGGTCGGCGATGTCGTTGTTGGCACAGTGCAGACTGTGAAGCCATATGGTGCCTTCATTGACATCGGTGGAGGTTTGAATGGTCTGCTCCATATCAGCCAGATCAGCCATGACAGAATCACAAACGTAGAGACGGTTCTCAGCGAGGGCGATGAACTCAAGGTACGCTGCTCTTCTCTTCTCTTCTCTTCTCTTCTCTTCTCTACTCTGTGTTTGTGTGTTTGTTGTGTTTCTGTGTTTGTTGTGTTTCTGTGTCTCTGTGTTTGTGTGCTTTGTGTATGTGGTAAATGTAACTCCAGAAAAAAAGAAAGGGTGATGGTTACGGACTGTTTTGCCACACTTCCAGCGAGTCATCAGGAGCTTGGAGCCCTGCAGTCTGCCCAGGATGCATTTGACTGATGGATAAGGAATCACCGCGTTCCCCAGAGTCAGAGATACCCTTGAGGGAGAAAACCGCTTGACTTCACTCCTACGAACCTTGGAATCCTTGCAGGCTGTCCAGTTTGAACCCTGAAAGTACGGTAGCCCATCACAGCCAGAAAACCCACCCTACACACCCGCTTATCCAGGGGTAACCACTGGCTTCTTGGTTTTGTGTTTTCTGTGTGTTTTAAATAACAATTACCAAATATCGATCCTGAATTGATGGAAAAACCAAGAGAAACTAGCATAATGAGTTCAAGGTCTCTCAAATCCGTGCGGTTGAGTGCAGAGAGGCCACACATCCGTTAGCTTTGTCTGTGCTTGCACTTCAACAATGAGTTGTTAGTAACTTATTACGCAGCTCTCAAGCAATTTCCTTATTGCTCTGGAGCTGTTAGCGTGTGTGTGTGTACCCGCGCGCTCACGCGCACGTGTGTGTGTGTGTGTGTGTGTGTGTGTGTGTGTGTGTGTGTGTGTG